CAGTCCATGCACGTTTACTCCAACAAAAAATCATTGGTTTACGTTCCGTCTCCAGTGAATTCCTCGAGGTTTTAGGTTGGTCCTATTCCATAGCTAGATCGGGACGATCCAGTACCACTATTAATCCGCAGGCTGTCATACGATTCTTCCATTTTCTTATTATATCCGTCTACTCAGGTTCCTGGTCGATTATTCCCAATAGACTTGAAATATATCCCTCCAACTCCATCTGAAATTGCCCAGTCCAGTGATCGATTGGACCCCAGTCCTTACATCCGACTGTTACAGCGAATCGATGCAAAATATCTGGCCACCGAACGAGGAGACTTGTTAGTGTTCTTACCCGGAATGGCTGAGATACAGGTACGTTTTCCCAACTTATACATGTTTGTAATTATCTTGGACATAGCCATGCCAATAAACCTAACACATACCCTGTAACTCATTTTTAGGCTGTCATGGAGCCAGCCAAAGCTTACGCAGAGCAAACGAAGCGCTGGATCATTTTGCCACTGCACAGCACACTATCCGCTCGTGACCAAGAGAAAGTTTTCCATGTGGCACCGGATGGTGTTCGAAAGTGTGTCCTGTCGACAAACATTGCTGAGACATCCTTGACGATTGACGGTATACGGTATGTTAATTTTGGGTCGGGACTGTTCAAACCCAGTAATATTCTATCAGTTTGATCAAGCTAATTTAGTTGAGAGGCCATATCACGTCAGGCGGGATTACCTGGGTCATGATGGAGTGAGCCATGTGAGATTCACTTCTGTCCGTTTGTCTTGTTGTGAACCAATGAATCGGTAGATGGGTAAATCATCAGAACTCTCATTGAGCTTGTTCAGGCTTATTCGATAAGTCAGCAACACCGAACGTCATTCTGCCTTATGTGTGTGTGTTGTGCTGATGAAATGTTTCTGGTTTTTTAGTTATGTCTATGGATTATCTGAAAAAAGGAGGCGTTTGTGTGTTGTCTGATGAAATGTTTCTGGTTTTTTAGTTATATCTATGGATTATCTGAAAAAAGGAGGCGTTAACGCCTTAGAAAAAACCACAGGGATTCCATGTTTGGTAGATGAAGCAGAATTCTCAACCACATGAGGTTTTAGGGTATGTGATCAACACCAGTGAGCGACAGTCTTTGTATTTATCGTTACCTGTAAGAGAAATCGGCCATCCTCTTACGCCTTTTTAATCCCTCCCCCATTTCTTGCGACTGTCCTGTTCCTAAGAATTTCACAGTGATCTTAGAATCTAAAACAGTAATTTTTCAATGCCTGCTTTTGGCAACTTATGTTCATCGCCGTACGGAACCCTTCTTTTTGGATTTCTGGGAGGTGGCCAACCCTTGACCTGGCAGAGGGGCATGAAGGAGATTACGAAACACGGGTGCTATCGGTACCACTCGCCTTCCAGGATGGGGACCGCGTGATCCTCACTGCGCCTGGTTGGAGATCCTGCAAGATATAGCTGTCAACCGATGTCCACCCTTATTCTTTTCTTCACAATAAGACTTTCAAATAAATCACGGTTGTAAGGCAGTGAAGCATCGGTGTGAACACTGATGTCATGATGTCGATGGTGGATGATGATGATGAAAACGATGATGATGATGATGATCATATGCCGAAATTGTCAGGCGTGAGCGAATCCTAGCCTAGGTGCATCAAAATTCCAGTACTTAGTTCCTGCTGCCGACTGATTCGCTGAGTCTTACATTGAAGAGCCTTTGTCCCTGGTGGGCTCGCGCACAGACTGCAATACAGTACCCACTATCTGCTTCGACTTCGAAAGGTCGCACAGTTCGATCCAAAATTTCTTTTCAGTAAACTTATCAGGCATTTGGTGATAGTACTTTTGATTCTGAGGTCCACTTGTTCCAGGTTTCCGCTTAGGAATGTGTCTTCGGAGAATTGCTCAAGTCTTGTGGGAACATCGGACCAATAGTGCTGAAATACGTCGTACCGTTTTGAGAGGAAATAATTCACCCACGATAGATGAACTGATCACACTCCCTAGGTTGCACCCGCTTGGTCCCGTGTTCCATAGGCCTGTCAACCGAATTCCTCGGACATCCATCTTCGCACAACCACCCGAGGGTTGGAAACGAACCAGAGTAGGTCCAGCATTGACTTGGTAGTGAAGTATGAAAGCCATTGCCAGCAAACTCAGCGGCGCTGGTCATTGCCATTCTCCGTGGATTGCAAAACGGAGACGGAACACATTATCAAACATGGCCAAGTCGAACCCTCGATGGTGGGCATGCCTCCAAGCTCTTGCCTTCAAATACACAGCTCCCCCTCCCAATTTCCTCAGTGTCAAGTTCACCGTCACTCCTTGATTCACGAGTCACTTATACCAGCCACTGTTTCCAGTGCGTAGTTACCCACCCCATAACTTCTCAGGTCACCAGCGAACGAAACTGTGATAGCCACTGTACAACATGGACGCGGTTTACAGCCGAAAACAATGTTGATTTCTTGGTTGTTGATCAATTGGCTGCTCATCTGTTCACCGAGCTTGGCAATCGACTTGCAAACGTTTCGGCACCATACAAGGAGACATCATTAGTGCGCAGTTGGGTGAGTGATGATGATGTCTCCTCGAATGGTGACGAAACGTTTGCAAGTCAATTGCCAAGCTCGACGAGCAGATCAACAGCCACCTGATCGATAACCAATAGACTTACTCGAGCTACCAGTATTTCGACGCATTACCAATGATGATTTCTGTGCTACTGTAGTGGCAGCCCACTTAATCGATCACCTCGAAATATCAAACTCCCCTCTTTGATGAAAAATGTCGGAAAAACATTGCTTGAAATGTAGCTGGTGAAGATACAAACTCACTACGCAACCTGATCTGTCAAAATACAAATCCGTCCAACAGGCATGTATATCACCAGAGAAATAGAGAATGTGAGAACATTCGTGGGATAAGGTCTCGGGTCGGTGAATGAAATAAGTTACTCCTTCCATAGTGACCCCCTCCGTAATTAGTCCATTGTGAGGCAACGTAATTTATACGTCTTCACTTACACCTATCCACCACTACCTCTTATTCGGTTGAGTTTCTATCTCTATGCGGTCACGTTAAAGATGGAGCCCCGCGCTCAAATTCAAATTTGCTTTTGATGGTTTGGACCTTTTTTGTGTGCACTTGCATATGTACCTCAAAGTTTGGCATTTTGTCGACTGCATCGCTGGATAACACTTCCGGGCTATACTGCAGATGTTCGCCGGCCTTCATAGCCTAGGGGGCGAGATGACTCAGTGGTTAGAGCGAGCATTTACTGGCCGGAATGTTCGTGTTTCGAACCCGACCTCTGCCTTTCGATTTCCCCTGTCTGGGCTTGGGTAACCTGGCAGTATTCCAGCCCTCGTACTTTCTTTGGGTGGCATGGCAGCTATGCACAGAAGGGGTATTACAGTTTGACTATTCTTATTATTATTCGTTTTATTATTATTATTACTACAACCCAGGCAGCACAAGTTGCGGTTACATTCCAGTCTGAACAGGGATCTTGTTACCCTAGTGTAACGGTGATACTACTGATCGGGAGGCACGCGAGTAGTATGTGTTGTTCGTAGAATTTCGCTTTGCATCGACTGGAAAAGGGAGTTCTGTTGCGGAATTCGTGGGGCCACTTTGTAACATTTGCTTGNCTGGCAGTATTCCGGCCCTCGTGCTTTCTTTGGGTGGCACGGCAGCTATGCACCGAAGGGGTATTACAGTTTGACTATTCTTATTATTATTCTTGTTATTATTATTACTATTACTACAACCTAGACAGCGCAAGTTGCGGCTACATTCCAGTCTGAACAGGGATCGTGTTACCCTAGTAGTCAAGTAATTATCCAGCAGAATGACCATTTGTTTGGGAGGGTTGATAAAGAGAGGAAAGCAGAAGCTCTTTTCCAGCATGATCATCCAGGCTGTATTTTGAAGACTTATCGAGATACCAGTGCTCTACCGTCCTGATTGATAATACAGAGCAACATATATGAACATCTGCAGGAAGACCCGATACCAGTCCTCAGTGGTCGGTGACTTGAATACCTGCGTAGGTTGAAGGTGGTTATACGATCCATCGGATGGAGAACAACGGACTCTGTCACTTTTGCAACTTTCTTGGCTTCGTAGCCATAAACTGGCCCCATGTCCATAATGCCGAAAGTTTTCCAGTCCATCTGCCTTCTCTGATCACTCTGTTTCACCGAATTCTATCCCCTTTTGATTCATGTCTCGGTTCGAAAAATTATCCTTGTTCAAACTTGATAGTCTCAAGCAATCGTCTCCCGTTTCGGCAACGAAGACAGGAGCACCCTTACCCTACCCTTACAACCAGTAATTCAATAGTCCCATCTCAGAGGATCTCTTCCGTTGATAAATGTGCTTCTATGTATCTAGAGGTAGTGGAACATTTCTTCAGGAATGAACTGGAGTCCTGAATTAGTTGTATTATTGTGACTCAACACCGTCACCTGTTTAAACTCGCACAGATTCGTTGCTGATTCTGGAAGAGTCAAGGAGCTCAGCTGGGATGCCACGGCGCGTATGAGACGTCTCAAAGAGTTCCCAGTTTCCAAGGCGAGTGCAGATCAACGGAAGGGTCGTGCCGGACGTACAGGCCCTGGTGTCTGCTATCGATTCTACACTCAAGAAGATTACGAAGAATTCGAGGTATGTTTTCTACGTTTACCTTTTACTTGAATCGAATCCATTATTCCTTGTTTGTCTGACGCTTTTCGGCAGCTGAGTTTACGCGGACTTACACCCACATCTTCACTTAGATTTCACGTATTGTTGTCGTCACTGGTTGGGTTACAGTGCGACTTCCACATGCCTCGATGTCCAGTCTATTTGACCGTGTTCAATGTCCGCATTCTGAAGCAAGCAGGTCAACCAGCTGCTCTTGGTTTCTCACTGGACTCGAGTATCTCCATTTCACGATGACTCGATAGGTCTTTATCAGGGAGCCTAAGTACCCCTGGTTCGGACACGTACCAAAGATTGATAACGTGACCTTCGAAATCATTTAATCCCCTTTATTGTTTCCGCTAATTCAAACAAGCCACAGGCACCTGTGGATGAAACCAACCTCTGTCCAAACGTACCAGGTGCTCACAAGTGGCGTTATGCTTCGCTGGTTGATTCAGTAGGTTGGTGCTTTGCGAATCAGAGGTGAAATTCAAGTGCAGAATTGTGACAAGGCGAAGATTCGCTTAACTCAGTTGACAGGATACGCACCACATAAGCAGGAGATGGCAGGTTCGAGTTCCGGTCTCCAGTCTTTTCGTCAGTACAGCGTACACTTTTTAGGTGAGTCGATCAATGTGGTAGATGGAAATGCACTGGGGTACGTCCGTTGTTGGTTTATCAGATGATCGGTGATCTGAATGCAAGCTAATTGTCAATCTCGGCGAATGCATGCTAATTACTAAAGCTCGGATCAACGACCATCTGATCAATCTGTCACCTGCTCGGACGTAGATTTCAGTAGACTAACGAGTGTGGAGTCCTCCCAGCCCGTGAAGACCAGAGAGGCTCTCGATAGCCTCCAGCCTATATCACCGTTGTTTGCCGAGCCGAGTTCCCAAGAGTGTTGTACACTCTATATTGCACTGTGGATCGGAAACACGGTCGAAGATGAAACATAGTTTTCACTGTTGGATTAACAGTGTCACAGGAGCATTGAATGGGTCCAGTGGGAGAGCGGGATTGGTGGTGCTGAATTGCATGGGAAGGTTTTCGGAGTGTGCAACTCACCCACGATAGACGAACCTTGGGCTATGCTGGTCACTGCCCGTGCTTCGCATGTCAGAGGACTTATTGCCCTCTTTCAGCGATCTGCAATCTGGAAGTGACCTAAAAGTAGCCAGTCTGAAACTTGACAATGAAACATGAAGGCACTGACCTGTAAACTTGGTCGTGCTGACAACCGACGACCCAAGAGTGACTCGTTACCCTGATAAACCTGACGGGATCACACATTCAGTGGCGGGGTTGCATTAAGTCTGTCATCTTCAGTGCTTAGCAGCTCCGATCACTCCACCCAAACTAAAACCGAACAAGTCAGTGTCAGTGAATTCGTTATGCTATCTCTAATGTCGATTTGTCCCCGTGAACGAAAATTTAACAGCTTGAACCAACGTGCGTTGTTCACAGAGGTGGCATGGACCAAGCAGATTGCCCGTAAGATCATTGGGGGTAAGGCCCCAAGGAGGCAACTCGTGATCAAATGTGTACGCAAGAGTCCACAGGTGGTTTGAGGAAACCCCATCTCTACATACCTGGGACCGTCGCCGCCCGTTACCAGAAGTCCGCCGAGTCGCTCATCCGTATATGATAGAAAACTGAACTGGAAACACGTGGTCTCTTACTGGGAAAGTGTGCAAACTTCTGTTTCTCTGATGATTTTGGTTCATCCCAGGATTCAGATTTCAAAATAAAACCGTGTAGTAATCTCTCCAATGGGCAAACCATTTATACAAGTTCAAATCAGTTGATCAGATCAGATGATTACTTTTTATCGAGACATAAGTACCGAGTCACTTTCATGGATTCAATTTGATAGCTTCGATTTAAGGTTGAACTGGCGATGTTAATACTGTAGAACTCAGTGTGCTGCCGTCCCTGCATTCTCCTGCCCGCTTCACCTCTCTGTTCGGGTTTTTCGATTCCATTCATAATTTTTACATGAGTTTGAAAGTGTCTTATCTCAGTTTTAAAACAATTTGAGTCCAAAGGGGTTTAAAACATTTGCTTCTGTTACTTGTCCTGTTGTAAAGAAGTACATTCCCCTGTAAAGTGAATTCCCTAGGAAGTTTTTTCAGATCGGGCTGTCGTCAAACAACTTGAATAGCTAGGGGAATTCAGGTGATTACGCATGATTCTCTTGGGGGACTTCAAAATACCAAAGGCTTAGGCGTACATCCTAAGTAGTGCTTAGACCTCTTAGAGACGCTTCTGCTACTTGTCCTGTTGTAAAGAAGTACATTCCCCTGTAAAGTGAATTCCCTAGGAAGTTTTTTCAGATCGGGCTGTCGTCAAACAACTTGAATAGCTAGGGGAATTCAGGTGATTACGCATGATTCTCTTGGGGGACTTCAAAATACCAAAGGCTTAGGCGTACATCCTAAGTAGTGCTTAGACCTCTTAGAGACGCACTTCGAAACAACCATCTTAACAATAATCCTGGAAAACGTGACTCACATCGCAGTCCGAATTACTTTCCAAATCCATGTTCAGCGTTTCAGTACCCCGGAGATCCGACGTGTGCCCCTGGAAACTCTGGCGCTCCAAATGATGGTGATGGGCCTACCGGACGTGACCCGATTTCCGTTTATCGAACCTCCAGAATCCAAAAGCTTAGAGGAAGCATTGGAACGTTTGCAGGTAGGTTTTTGTGTTTTTACCCACAACACCGCACACAGCCAATATCGACTAACCCAGCCGAGCACGGTTTACTCAAACTAAAAGGTAGTATACTCCGTTCACCGAATAACGGTCTGTTGCCGAACGCAAATCTGAGTACTACCGTTGCCTTCGGGTAGGCCCATTCACACGGATATACCGTGTTTCAACCAGGAATCTTCTAAGAGGGGATTCGCTCCTTTTTTCTTCCTCTCTTCAAATTTTGACGTAGTCATCCTTACTCAGTGTGAACTGGCACCGGAATTTCCCAGGTTCATTCTCATGCAAATCTGTTGCCATTCGGTCGAATATGGGCCTTGCACCTCCTGTGTTTTCAGTTGCTACTGTTAACACTATCCAGAAATCCATGCAACGTTTTGGAACTTTCATCAGATGACATACAAAGAAGCTTCTGTCAGCCCCTTGATTTGCATATCTTTTTCCCTTTTCAGTCGCATGGCGCTTTGGCCAGACAAGATAACGGTGACGGTTCACGCTCTTCGGCGCCATCGCCAAATGAGCAAACGCTGCTTACGGTCACCCCACTCGGTCGTCTATTAGCTGATCTGCCGGTAGAATTTTCCTTGGGACGCATGTTGATCATGGCCTCCTTGCTCGGGTTAGTCGAACCTGTGCTCAGTTTGGTGGCTGGCATGTCAGTCCAGAACCCACTCACTCCAACCACGGCCTTCACCGGTACGGAACGACTGAGGCGAACCGAATCCCTCGCGGATTATGAAAGTGACCATGGTGACGCGTTCACCGTGATGAGAGTGTTTGACGAATGGCTAAGAGTGTGTCTCTATCTTTTGTCCGCAATCCAATTTTTCCACCATGGTTTTTTAATGGCTGAACATAGGTACAATAAAAAAAACTGCACGCTGTGTTAACTATTAATTGTGACTAGTTGTTGTGTCTTGGTGGACGGTAGTGCAACTCCGTATCAGTCCCTTGGCTTCCTGCTCCGCCCACTATGGTATATCAAAAGGCACGGTAGCTCTACACGGCCCTTATGGAGACAAAAGGAGAATCATTTCATCTGTATTTATAGGGTAATCACAGAGTGTTCCACAAGATCGTGTCAGAATCTCCGTGAGGGGGCGAGAAGCGTCCAGTCAAGGATGTTCAAACCGGATTGGCGGCATCCTGACCAATCAGGGAATGCCCTCGTTGTTCCGTGTCCTCCATGTGACACATCCGTCCAAATGATGTGATGTTCGGTTATGAACATAGGTACAATAAAAAAAACTGCACGCTGTGTTAACTATTAATTGTGACTAGTTGTTGTGTCTTGGTGGACGGTAGTGCAACTCCGTATCAGTCCCTTGGCTTCCTGATCCGCCCACTATGGTATATCAAAAGGCACGGTAGCTCTACACGGCCCTCATGGAGACAAAAGGAGAATCATTTCATCTGTATTTATAGGGTAATCACAGAGTGTTCCACAAGATCGTGTCAGAATCTCCGTGAGGGGGCGAGAAGCGTCCAGTCAAGGATGTTCAAACCGGATTGGCGGCATCCTGACCAATCAGGGAATGCCCTCGTTGTTCCGTGTCCTCCATGTGACACATCCGTCCAAATGATGTGATGTTCGGTTATTAGGGACGGCTGGCCCTCCGAACATAGTACAGTAAACAACGGGTAAACTCACCTTGTTTACATATCGGTGTCAGTCGGCGTGAATTCGCTGTCTTTTTGGGTGCTTCGTGACGTCTGGACACAGTACCTGCCTCAGGTCATCACTGCTCATTGGAGTAACCCAGATGTAGTCCAAATGTTCACTGCTCCGAACATGCCCCAGGTGTCGCAACCACCTACACTTCTTCATGATTTATAACCCGGACTAAGCAGGGTCCCCTCTTCAGTTTGATCTCACCGCACCCGCTATAGAGTCAGGTTTCCGGTTTTTATGGTATACTACCACCTCTCCAATTCGACCGAATTTTAAGCGATACAACAAGCACAAAACCATTTAAATTCATGTATGAAATTGTTAACTACAGGGGCAGAATTTGTTGGCCTTTCAGGACTAGCCAAATACTGCAATCAAGTTTGACCAATCTTTTCAAAAGAAGGAGAGAGTTTCTACATGAATTATTGTCCGGCTGAGTAAATGTACCCTACCAGTGTTTCCAAGATCTACCCAGCACCGCAGTCGACTTTTTCCAAATTCTTAATAATCCGACGAATAGGTTTTGTACATCTCACCGCATACATGCAGCATGATATTGTTTCGTCCTTTCAGACGTGAAAATTTAAGTGCATCCACCATGCACAAGCGGAGTGGTGGTGACATGCTCGCCTCATATGTCCGGAGTTCACGTTGGGGCGCGGTCAAGGATACTTACTGCTAATGAACTGTAATAAGTGTACACATCGAGTCCAGTTCTTCTTTGAGTCGGGACCAAAGAAGGACTGTTCATACGAGATCGATGTGAAATCATGAACTTTGCGAACGAAGGTAACATTGAAAGTTCCATGTACATCACGCACATTGTGATAGTACATCCTGTAGAGAGTCGGATCGTGCCCAGACATCTCAGTACTTTTTTACGGGATATTTTGATAAGATCTCTCGAAGTGTACCGACAACAATGCAAAGATGCCTCGGGGAATATGCATCGCCTTCGGGTACAATCCATAGACTAAATACTCTTTTTGGACATCCGATCAGTACCGGAACAACTTAACGTGATAAAAACGCAACAGTCTGCTTCCCCTTATGCACGCTAACTTTTTCATCCGCAGATCAAATCTGAGGATGTCACTCAACCCAAGCAGGAATCGCATTCCGATCCGCAATGGAGCCGCGCTGATAGTCGAACAAATATAAGACGTTGGTGTCGTCGAATCGGAGCGCAAGAACAACGTTTGCATGAAATGGTTCGTTTGAGGAATCAGTTTTCCCAGCTACTCCGTGATGCCGGGCTTTGGGCAGACCGAACCACCCAACAGACGAAAGTCGCACAAAAACGTACTATCGAACTGAATCGAGCCAGAAGAATGGAACGAATGCGAACCAAGCGACGTCGTCTGTTGACGCTGCAAGACAATGACGTGAGTTATCAGTCTCGTATCGATAGCTGAAGATACCAGTTAAAGATTTTCAGCACTTTCCGATTGGAGACAACCTACCTCGAGAAGTGAGGTTCGAGAACAGACAACGAACTGTGTGACCAAACTGCATGTCTAAATATCACACCACTGGTCAACTGCTCACCAGGTCCTATGCTTAATACACTCACTAAAAAACTCGTTGGTGAAATTAAAATACCCCCGGATGTTTACGCCCTCTCAGGGACTTATGGATACCCGTCCAAAGTTCAATAGCAATCGGTTCATTTATTCTGACCCTAGTTCACAATTTGTTGTCGAAATAAGACGGTATACCAACACCTTGGTCACCTGAAAGTCTGCCAGTGGTGTGTCCCCTTGAGAGGCGCCTTTTGACCCAGTTACAGTTACATTGTCTCTGGTACCGCTGTGCAGTTCAGCGGATCTTCCCAACTCTCACGGTTAACGATCAACTTATGGTTGTTCCTAAAGGTAGATCCCACTTGTGAAGAATTCTACCGTATAAGACAATCTAAACTGAACTCGGCTACCAATGAACAGTTAAGTCGCTTGTTGGAAATCAGTGTGTACCTATCATATGGCGCGCTCTTGGCTATTCCTACACTGACTGACGAAAAAGTACTCTAATTCACTTTCCGGACCCAAATCTTGGATATGTCCTCACGCCACGTAAAGCGGTTCTCAGCTGTATTTTCTTCAGGATCCCTGGATTTGAACCACTCAGAGATTGTCACTCTTGCTTCATCCAGCTACTGATACTATTCAGTCTGGAAGGCTTTTTGAATTGGCCTAACATGTCCGATGACAGAAGTGTGATCTCCGAGCAGTAAGAGGCTCTTTTCACTTTTCGTATTTTTCCACAGACTGAAGAACGCTCTGAATCCGAAGACGAAAACGAGAATGCTTCTGAACCAGCATCCAATTTGCGCAAGTGGTTGGCCGCTGTTGGCGCCGGTCGTGGTAGTCGCGCGGGCCTGAACACTCTTGATGTATCCGTTCGAGACTTGGAACTCGTACTGTGCTACGATCTGTCATCCCTTGCCGAGTCTGCACTTTGTCACGAGTCGATGACTCAAGCCGATTTGATTCTACTCAAAGTTGTGCTTGCCGGTGGTCTCTATCCGCATCTGGCCATTGGAGATACGGCTAATGCCTATCGTGTTGCCAACCGTGGGGGTTCTGCTGGTCCTGGTGCAGAAATGGTGTTCCACACCAGAGTACGCTTTTTTACCCGCCTTTTTACCGTACTATTCCCAGTTACCCATGTTTTCAGCTTTCAAGTCGTTTTATTATTCAGCTGCATCTCGCCCTGGACGTTTTTTGTTTCACCTTAGAACTAGTGAGTCCTAACAATGACAGTTTATGTAATGGATTAGTTCCTCCACGGCTGTTCGCTTCGTTCTTATTGATGGATTAATCCAGTGCTCAATTCTCTCATGCCCAGTTGCACAGCTTAACATGGCAATATGAGTGAATATACCGGAAACAAGCTTCACAATTTCTTCTTGACGAAAGCTATGTCTTCATGTCAAGGTGTCCCAGTATTATTCACAAAACGGACTGACAAAAAAATGGAGGTGTTGTGATATGATGTTGAGCTTTGTCAAGAGGTATCCAATCTAGTACGCGTAATCTAGAAGCTTAATCACGCATCTCGGCATATTTTATTTTCAATTCTCAAAATTAATGCCAGGACGAATTCAGAACATGCCGAAACACTTCAAAAAGAAGCAAGTGGAATGCAAGCTTAGATGCGGAGCCGCCGCGGCTCGCCTGGTTTCGGTTTCTGTGTTCTCAACTCCAGTATTGATAAGGGATACGTCCATATATCGTTTCTGCTCAGGGACAACTCGGTGGCTCATAGGGCAGCGCATTACGTTGAATCACTCATTCATTCCATGTACTGTTTTTACATTAGTTTATGCATTATTCTGGACCTTGAGTTCCCTGGCAACGCCCGCTTTTTGGGTTGGAGTACTGCGGACAACCCAGCAATTAGTGCTCTGTGAAAGCACATTTGAATCAAGACAGATCGTTTTGTGTCTGCAAAGCGCAGAAACCGTAGTTCGTTGTTGCTCTGTTGAATTGCAAACGTTTCGATACCAGTCGAGGAGACGTCGTCGGTGGGTGATTCCACCTCTTCTGTTTGCGTTTATATAGTTTTGAACAGTGCCTAATAACTACGGTGATTGGTTGCGGAGCGGCTTTCGCGTAGCTTGATTGGTCGATTCGGGATATGAGTTACTTCATGATATCATTTCATTTGATTGAATGTCTTCATTCTGTTCCTCCGTCTTGATTGTTCCGTTTCCTTTTCGCGTCGTGGTCTGGTTGTCTCCTGTTTGACTGTACGACGTGGTCGTTCTCATCCCTCGATCTGATTGGCTCTTTCCTTATCATTCTGTTGTTTGGTTGCCCGCATGATCGATATAACTGGTTTTATTGTTTGATTCCTATGTACATGCCCGTTTCCCGTTTGTTCTTCCATAAACAAGCATCTTTCTCTTCGCGAATTGAAACTGGCGACGGTGGTATGTGTCGTATGCTGTGTTTATATGTTCTGGTGACCGGTTTGTTGTTAAGTCTGACCAACACTGTGTTTCTCAATGTGTTTGGAGTTATGGAGTTGACCGTCGTTCCTTATTGTCCTTCCAGCGATGTTTTTACTATGCGAAAACGTGCTCTCCGTTTTCTGGTTGTATTGACAAAATACCCTGACTTTGGTTCCGTGTGGGACTCAGTAGAATAAAATAGAATGGAATAGAATATCTGATAAAATCGTCCTTCGTCGACTATGTTGTGTTGCGATTCGTCTCGATCAGTTCGAATAGTGTTCGAACACGGTTTTGTTTGTGACGGTTTGAGTGGTTGCTCAGGAAGCTCGGGATCTGGTTCGCGTTGTATGCTTCGGTTCACAGTTGTTTGTTTGTCGTCCTGTTGACGTGTAGGAAAGTCCCTCTGTTGTTTTCCTTTTGCACGGTGAAGTGGATATCAGCGAACACGTTCAGAAGTTCGTTCATCGATTCATAATAGTGAACATTCACATATCGCACCCATATTTTGGGACTGATAGCAGGATCTGCTGTGGCCTAACCGCAATGAATCCCGAGGTTGGTAGTTCCTTTGGCGCTCCTTCAAGTTGTTCGTAATATCCTCGACTAAACCAAAACTAGGTTGTCAATAGTAGGTCCAGTGGTTCGTGTTCTGTTTGTGGTTCTCCAGTTGTACAGTGGTTTAACGGCCGCTGTCCTCATAGTATTTAAATTGACCGATGGGAGCAATGAAGTTGAGCCGACAACTTCTCGATTTGTGGCTTGGTGAGCAGATCCACAACCAAGCAGTGCGCCCGAGCTGCCCATATTCCGCAACATCGTCACCCAGTATGCCCGATCGGTTTATCATAGTTACGTCGTGATAAGCTTACGCTTTGAGGTTGTCAGCCTATGAAGGCCCTCGTTCCACAGTCTTGGATACTTAAAGCAACCGTTAGCCTTTCGGGACTTTTTTCTTGCGCATCTTCATGATTAGCTGGGATCGCTCATGCCCTCGAAAGTTTTCTACTAATTGGCAATGGCAGATTATATGTTCCTCGCATTTTGAGTGTCACGTTTTTACCCAGAACTCACAGTGATATTCGAAATTCGCCTCTCTCACACACGCGCGTCATCGTCATGAAGTCTGTTTACCGCATGTACATTTACTCCATTAGGCAAAAGGCTTCGTCACTTTGAATCCCAACGACGTATTTGTGCGTCATCCGGACGTATTATTTCCCGACCCCAAACTAAGGGAGAAAACCGCGTCAATTCATGATTCATCTTCGGATTCCTTGCCGTCTGGCTATGCTTCGGATCACCAGCTGTTGATGTACCTGTGAGTTGTAGCTTTTACCGGTGTCATTGCGATTTGCCCATTCTGTGGAATAAATTCGAATTTCGCACCCCACAGGACACGCCCCAGGAGAACGTGATTAGAAGTGATATCCTTAAGTCTTCACCTTTCTCCTCAACTTTTCTGCTTTTACCTTCTTTGTCGGTGTACCAAATTTAGGGGCTGTAAGGACGATCAGCTCAGCTGCTTGAGAACCACTGCTCTAGAGTTTGGATTTCTACCTCATAAGTGTGTTTAGAATCTTCATGCCGATATTAATGTAAACGGCAATGCCACCTGAATTGTAGCCATGAGACATACCCGCCCATAGTTCCAGTCCAACTCCGACAGTCCTTCTGCTTCTGTGTATAACTTGCGTCGATAACTTAAAGGCATCTCATTTCTCATGCTTCCTGTCGGTTGCCTAGCAGTTTTGCGTCGAAAGGATACAGCGGCTGAACAGTAGTGATGGAATCGAAAGTTCAGCCCATCAACCGAGTGCGCCATGGGAAGCCGGTTTAGGGTGCCTTTTTCCCCTGTCTCTTTAGACAGACTCTCATGTGTTAGGTGGAATTCCACGCCGATACCGCTTTATCACCCACATTTAGGCGCTGCTACGGCCGAGAAACCGAACCGCTTGCCGGTTCGGCATCAAGGCTAGCTCTGATTGGTCGAAAGTCCAGGCCCAACAGCCAATCATGATGAGTATTCGCCAAATGCCGGTTGCCAATGCCGCATCCAGAAGTCGTCAGAATTTCCGGAATGTCGCGGCATACACTTTATATACGACGCGCTGCATAGGCGTTTTTGAACCAGTTTTGGGCGTTAATATACGTTATGCACCTTTGGTGGTTGTTTTTCAGAGGAACGCTAGCTTAGGAGGCTAAGACCGAGAACTAAGCTGAGAAAACTACCGTTATTGCGCATACACAGAGTGTGCATTAATTAACTGGGAGTCCGTGCACATTCTTTGTAGTATATTTTTCATAGTTTTACCTTTCTGGACGTCCAACCCTAGCGTATGTCCTCGCATTCATCTGGGACCTTTCCCCCACTGTTGCTGTTTCTCCAGGATAACTACCGTGGTTCAGTTTGCTGAACAACTTTTTGCAAAACAATTGGAAGGAAATGTGTTCAAAATTCGACTGGGTAAAGCCGTCAGCCGGTTAGATCATCAGGTTTGTAAGCTGCAACAACGAAACCTCCTGCTTAAATTCCTGCATACTACTATTTTACCCCATCTCTTATTTTCAGAGATCTCATGGAAACTACGAAGCCCTTTTTGGTGAATACCATTCGGGTGCCCGCCCTTCCCACCCTTCCTCTCTTCTGCCCCGACA